GCTGATTTGTGTGGGGCGTTCATGTTTTTCACCCTTCTCGTCCCTCCCAAAACAAACCCCAAAAAATAAAACACACCCTCCCCCCAAAAAAGCAAGAGATGTGTCACTCTCAACATGAGAGTAAAGCCCCCCAACAATCTTCCCGACACTCCTGCAGCGGGATGGAGCGCGGCTTCACCGGCTCGTAGGGGTCGCACTCCGGGAACTCGGAGATGCTGCACTTGGTGCTGGCCACGCGCTGAGGGCCTCAACCAAAAGCTGGAGCCGGGCCAGGGGCTTCCACTGAGAAGAAACCACCTCAGGCCTTCTCTGCGTTTTTTTATTTTGGATTATTTTTGCTTGTTTTGTTCTTTTTTGGTCTTGTTGTTTCCTTCGATTCAACTAGGGTTTCCCACAGGTTTCGGAGAGGTTGTTTTTGACACAAAATGTAAGCAAACCCTGCCTTGCAAGTACCCGGAGGTGAACAAGGTGATGGTGAGGCAGGGCTGCGATTGCCGGTCTTCCTGAGCTCCAAAGCCCCTTGCCAGCTGTCGGTGTCTCTCAAAGTCGTCGAATTGGCTGTTTCTCAAAATTGGGGGCTTATCTAGCTGGTGTCCGTTCCCTCTAAAGCCCAACTGGGGCCCCCTATTTTGGAACATGCTTGGCTTGTGGGTCTCCTTTCGATCCAACCGAACGGGGTCCGAAACCATGAGAAACGCCCGCCTTGGCACCCGCAGGCCAAGGCTCAGGAGTCATCTGGACCAGTGTCTCCACCCGCCCCGCTCGCTCGCTGAAGCTAAACGTCTGCATGCCCAGCGCATCTCCTGCGGTCTTTCTCCAAGTAACCCTTTGACTTGTTAAACACATGACAAGCCAGAAGTCAACATCATGGTAATCTAGTAATCACTACGAATATGGTACACCAGCATACACCAACATGGGTAAGACACCAGCCGTCAATCTCGCACAACACTTTCCCCTCTTTATTAGAAGCTAGGACTCCTATAGCTTCCAGCTATCCGGGGAAAAAGGAACAAGGACAGCTTGGGCAAACCAGTTTGGGCCTTCCCCAAGGCCCGAGTTGCCAACCCAAATCGGGACTAAGGCAAAGGCCTGCTGTGAGCCATGCCACGTCCACGATTTCCCCAGAGGAAGAAACATGCGGAAGAGCCTTGCCACTGACTCTTGGGCGTTTCTTTGAGTGTCAGGGACAGCTTTGATTTGAGTCAAGAGGTTCCCTTCACGGAAAGCCTCCGACTTTGGAGTACGCTCCTTGGAGGTTGCTGTCCTCAAACTCATCACGGCCTGGCGCAAACGTGTGTCTCGGAGCAAAGCAAACTCTGGTTCCTTGTTGAAGCAATAGTGGGATATAAAATGGGTAGTTGAGGGAAACCAAAAGGAACCAACTCTTTTAGGGGACCGGACCACTATTTTGAGAACCCTAAAGTGAAGGGGCTTGAACATGGTTTTCTCACTGCCCCACATCTCCAGGCCTTCTGATGGATCCTGTAGTTGCTCAGTGTCATACGAAACCTTGGACTCGACATGCTTTCTACACAAACTGCTCAAAAGGGGAGGCGATTGGACATTCACACCACCCAAACAAACCTCAAAAGGCCATATCTTGCAATGAATTTGTCCCAGAGGCCCACTTCGTAGTGCTGCTTTTCGAGCCGAATCCTATCTCCACCTGCCAGGCAACTGTCACATCAAGCTTGCAGCCCATTCTGTCGCCAAGGCCTGACACTGCCGACCTTCTGCGCCGGTGACCTCAGAACGGTCCAGAAACAACAAGGGTCTTCTGACCATCGCAGCCCCGCCATGTACACGTCTGCCAAGATGGAGATCTGTACCATGGCCGGCTCGTTCTCGAGCCGCGCGGGCACGGACTTCGCGGGTTGGAGCTCCTTCGCTAAGTGCTTGGCTGTGGTGATTGCCACTATCCATGGAACTCTCTCCGGTCTCAAAGGGCCAAGGCCAAGGCCCCCTCAACGGGGTAACGGGGAAGGCCCCCAGCAACGGAACGCGCAGACACTTGAAACGCTCCTCTTCGGGATCCAACGGCTCGACGCTCCCCGACAAAAGGAGGCGACCTGGCCCGGGCGGGGTCAAATCCGAGTTTGTCACGCCGCAAACATGCATGCGTCGGCCTTTGAAGATGTGCGCGTTCGGCTCCTGTGTGCACGTCCACCGGGCAAAGCGCGAAACAAACGCTGAAAATACATGCAAAGACCAACTGATTCGCAGACAAACTGTGGGCTTGGTCATGATGTTGATCGCATGACCATGATGTTGCCCGAACTATCCGATTCCGCACACATTGTAACATCATCGTGTGTTTGGGTGTGTTTGTGTTTGTGTGTTTGTTGTTTGGTTGATGTTTGTGTGTAGGGGGGGGGTGGACATGCCCGAAGCAGACGGGATGGGCCCAGCCTTGTCACCAGAGGCTTGCAGGTCCTCCGATGGCGGCCCGTTTCGCCCCACCCGTATGGCCCCATAGAAGGCATGACTCCGGAAATCTGAGAGTGCGTCATGCCTTCAATCACCGGAAACCTATCTGCCACTCGGCAGGTCACACTTGGCGCCTCTTGGAAACCAAGCTCGAAGCTTCCGACTCAGGCTGGGAATGACCACTTCTGTGATACAACAGAAAGGGCTTCCCAAAGACTATTTTGTTAAGAGAAAGGGGGATTCCCTTGTATCACAGAAGTGAGGAGAAACCCCTTGATCCCACAACCCTTCCGAGCTTTCAGCCAAGCTGCGGCCTCTGCTGAATCCCAGCCATAGAGGTTGAACCTGAGAGATTCGGAAGTCGTAAGTCGCGAACCCGGCGAAACGCTTTGGACAAGCCGCCAGCGAGGCGGCAACGGATGACTGTTGAGCTCGCTGAAGGAAAAGAGGCCCTGTGCCATCAGCTCCTGAGATCACAGCACTGCACTTGACCACCGAATTCATGCTATGCAGGTGCGCGACGTCGGGTGAAAACCAATTGCAGGTCCACAGCTTGAGAATGATGGTGTCCTGCACGCATGGAAAAACATGCATCGAGCTGCGAAACATGCTCGCTAAGCTGTCTGTCCTCATAAACAGGGGTGACAACCGGTATCTGCAGGCACTCGTTGAAGGTGTACTGCTTCACATTTCTGCCTCCAGATCAATCAAGCCTGCGGATTTGGGGGGACGTTGCCCTTGAAGGGCAAGGCTACCCTCCCAAATGGGACCCCTGTGAATCAACAAGGCTCTTTTTTCTCATCCGGTCAGTGGCTTAGGAAAAAAACACATTTCCCCTTCAAATGCGTTCCCCAAACTTTTCGCGCAAGATTTACTTCGGGCTTTCTCAGCCCTCTGCACTCCCCATGGCTTGCCACTTGCCGAGCCATCCGAGGCGCCGATGGAAGTCTTCACCAAGCACCCCGCGAACTCCACCGTGACGTAGGGGCTGGGCGCCTCGCAACGCGCATGCGCTCGAAATGCGCTCGAACCGACCAGCGGCGAGCAAGCACTGAGCCGGCGACGCCGCCCTGGTCCTGCAGGTCCTGCAAGCAAAGCTCCGGAAAACAGCAGCCACCAAAGCCATAGGGTGTCGTTTAAGTCGCTTGCCATGACATCGCGAAGTCATAAAAGATGAGACGCGAAATCGGAGGCTCCTCCACCCGGATCAGGTTCAAGCGCACATAGTGCGCGCGTCCTCTCCGCCAACATTGCAAAACAGATCTTGCAACCAAAGCTCTTTCCAGGACTCTTGACAAAAGCCATCCTACTTGGGTGTATATTTTTTGAGTTGATAACCCTTTTGGGCGGTTTTAAAGGCAAACCAAACGGCAAACCGTAAGCCACCCATTTTAGGGCTCCGACCGACAAAACGAAAGACGAGGCACACCGGGTTTTGTCACCGATCCGACCTTGAGGGGCATCCACCGAAGTGGTCAGCACCGCAGATTCCAGGCCATCTTCCTCATCTTTCTTCGCCTACACGGTTTCCAGAATCGGTTCCATATGGATCCGCATTCCCCAAACCAAGTCAACAAGGCAAACAAAAAAAGGCCAAGCCACCCTCCAACCAGAAAACTAGCCCAGTTTCCCAAAACTCGACCAAGACGACCAGACTACCAAGCCAGACTATGCCAAAAGTTGGGGCTTGATCAAGATTCCCTTCCGGCCATGCTAACTTGGCTGACTTGTCCAGTATGCTTGAAATATCAAATATCTGTTGTTTGGCCAAGCTAACTCGGCTAACTTGTCCCATGTGCTTGAAATATCAACTATGTGGCCCCAAATGACCATGACTAACCTTTTTCATTTGGTTCCAAGAAAAAAAAGTGGCGCTCCAAAGGTCATCCCATGTAGAGCCGTCGGAGCATTCGATCGGCCTGCGCCTCCGGCTCCAAGCTCTCCGAGGTCTCAGGGGCGAGTTGGGCGAAGCCGCATGGATCGAGCTCCCGCATCGGCTTTGGGAGGAGCTGAAGCGGATGTGTGTCTGTCTGTGTTTGTTTTGGTGAGTTGGAACTGTGTGTCTGTTTTTTTTTGTCAATTTGTGGTGAGTTGGTACCACGTGTTTTGTGTCTTGTGTGTTTAAAGGGAAACCAAAGGAAGTTGGGGTCCATTGCCAAGCGAAAAGAATTAAACCCCGGTTGACCGAACTGCCCTTGGGGGCCACGTGAGACTTGCACCCCACCTGCAAGGACAAGCTCGGAGCCATTTCGCCGGGCTTCAGCACATAGACCGTGACGCTGAGCATGCCGTTGATCGCAGGACTCGCGAGCAGAGGAGCCATACACATCGGAGGCTCCGCGAGGGCCGTGGATCTTTCGCAAGAGGCAAGGGGACTGAGCCAACATTCCACCTCAAGCCTAGCATGCTAGTGCTACAACCAACACACACACACACACAACAACAGTCCTGCTACGACGAATACCCGTTGAAACAACGCTTGCTTGACAGCGCCCGATGGCCAACTCTCGGCCTCTCATCTCGGCGCAATGGCAGCCACCTTCGAGCATACCTTGGGCATTCGGACGCCTTCAGAAACCTGCTTGTGCGCTGATGTGACGCCCCAAAGGAGTCCAAGTTGGAGGTTGGAAAGCAGAGTTCCCACTCAGAATGGTCCACATGGCAAACTGGTGGTTGAAAAACAGAGGTCCCAAAGGTGAGACTGCACCTAGCACAAGGTGCAAATGATTTTGGCGCTTGTTGACGAAGGAAAGCTGAAGCGACGCCTTCCCGATCAAGTAGTTGCGGGTGAACCAATGCCTCAGGTCTCCACGTGAGGCTCAGACTCGCGCGAGACTCGGAATCAAGCCCCAAGCCTCGCGTAGACTTTGAATTCCACGAAGGACGACTCGAACTCTTGCGGATGCAGGGAGACATTTGGCCACGTGCAATACTCGTTCCTTGGCACGCACGGAAAAACATGTGGGCCATGGTTTCGGCAACATCCCTAACCCGGCAACTCTAAACCACCCCTAAACCCACCCAGAACCAATCCTAAACCATCCCTAAACCAAATCAACCCTAAACCATCCTTATAAACCACCCCTAAACAGCTATAAACCAATCCTGGCCGGTGAAGCGCGCGACAATTTTAAGTGCAGTCGCGGGTCCACGGCGCTAAAGAGCTGCGATTTTCCAGAGTTGCCGTCTGGTAAGACAACCCGCAGCAGTCGACGACAACCTCTTCAGTCAGAAAATCACATCTATTTGTTTCCAGTAGAAAAAGGAAAATACCCACTTTACACTAGAAAAGAATCCTTGCATGCGAAAGGTTGGTGAGATCATTCCCACATGTTCTAATTACTGATGAAACAAGTGATGGCACCGCACATTCTGCTGAAAACAGCCATGATATTGCAATCCAGCTGCAAAAGGATCACAGGGATGAGCATCTTCTGTCTGCAGGCTTCGCCCCCCGAACACTCTGAAACCTGCAAAGAGCATGCGGCCACACAACCTTGCAAGTGTTTGTTTGACGACGCAACATCCTCCGTAGCTGCCGGCCGTGCGTTCTACATGTCGGAGCGGCCGGTTCGGAGGATGCCCCTGGCCTACGACGTAGTTCTGCATCAGGAGCACCGCACCACATTGCCCCGCAATTGCCGGGTGCGACAAAAGTGTCTTATGTGCTCTTGCGTGCTATGCCAAGCTGCCACACTAAGGAAACCAATGCAAAATACCAGGCGACAAAAGTATGTCCGCCCTCTCAACTCGTCCAAAAAACCCAATGCCCGGGATGAAACTCACCTCAGGTAGCAGCCTGTGTTTCGGCCTTGCGTACCTCGACGCCTTGGAGAATGCCAAATGCCACGCTCACCTCAAGCAACGGCATGTCAACATCACTAGCTCGAAAAATGAATGCGAATGCGTTTGTTTTTGGATGACATACCACGTATTTGTTTTTAACATTCAGACTCTTGGATCGTACCTAGCGAGACCTGCTTGTGCAACCAGCAATTCGTAGGCACGCGGCCGTGCAGACTGACGCACTCTGCCCAATTCTTGCAGGTTCAAACACCCAAACGTGAAAAATTGGCAACTCGCAACAAAAGCAAAAAAATAGCTCAAACCCTGCGAAAGACATGTTCACTTCCGACAATTGCACAGTTACCGTTTTGCGCTGCAGGGAGCGCTATGCATGATGTTCGCTCTCACTTCAAATCAACGTTTGTCGTCCATAGTTCGACCGTTGACGAACTGTTTTGTGCCTTCGAGGGTTTTTTGGAGATTGAGAAGAAACGCGTGGCCGAAAACTGGTTTGTGTGTGCAAAGGATGCGGTGCAACAATACAAAAGTACACCAACATAGGCCCCAAATAGCATCGCAGATTTGACCGGAACGGCTCAGTCAACGACGAAACATGTGAATTTCGAAAAGCACAAACAGCGCCCTCATGAATTCAGCGGCATCATGATGATTTTGGCGGCGTTGCGCGGTTTCGAACCTTTGCGCTGCGCACAAGCACATACTATGATGGTTTTTGCGGCATCATGATGATACCTCAGCCACAAACCCTTTTTGCGCAACACAAACCGTGTCCTATAGCAGCATCAGCCACAAACCAGTATAGGCCACATATACCCACAGACAGCATCCTAGTCCATTCTGCAGCTTAAGTGAGGGAATTGTCCCGCCGGGCGCACCTCCATGAGCGCGGGCCCAAATACTCACACGCCTTGGGAGTACGGCACGAATTGGCCATTGGCGCCAGCTAGGCGGCGATATGGATGCCGAGGCTTCGAGGCCAGGCCAATGTTGAGGCAATATTGAGGCAATATTGAAGCAATATTGAGGCAATATTGAGACATCTTGTCTCATTTCTTCTTGGAATGGCGGCGCTGGGTGACTCATCGCCATCTCACGTGTTGTGCGGCGCCGCATTGCCAGCAGCTCCGGCGTCACGGCCGCTTGGACAAGAAGACTGTGCTGCCGGTCTCCCGCATCCCTGCTGCTCTCTCTTTAGAGAGGGTTTCCCAAACGGATTCTATTGCACCTGGGAGGGGTAGTAAGGAAGAGGGGGGCTTGGCCTTTTTCGGCCAAAAAACGAATGTCACCAGTGATGTCACCGCTCTTGCTGCTCCCTTTTGGGCCGAAAAAGTGCCCAACACGGCCAACTTCCCGAATTCCCGAAAAGCTCGTTCTTTTCGGTCAGACGGCAAGTAAACGGCCTCTGCCTCTCGATTTGCCTTTTGGCCGAAAACAGGGTCCAGACGCGTACACTCCTCTTGATTTCCGTCTTCGGCCCGAAAAAGCAGCCAAGATCCATCCTGCCGAGCTTGTCACCGTCTGTCACCGCTACATCGCCGCTATGTCACCGCTACCTTTCGGTTAAGGCATGTTGCACTGCTCCTAGCTTGAACCCAAACATGAACCCCCAAAAGAACAAAGCAAGTCCGAAGCGGCCGCAGTTCTTTTTACCGGGATTGCTGAAAGTAGCACTGCTTCCAGGGCACTGGTGCGCCTGGAACAGGAGGTGCGTTGACCCCCCGTGAAACTAAAACGGGCAAGACAATGCGTGTCCTTGCAAATGAATGCAGTGCTTGCAGGGCGTGGCATGCGTGCCCGCGCCCAAGGTCCGGAGACTGAATGGTCCGGAGACCAGAGTTGGTCCGGAGACCTGGTCCGGAGACCAAGAGGTCCGGAGACCACCAACGAAAGTGCAGAGCGTCTGCGACCTATACTTGCAGAGCCTTGTATAAGGCAGTGCAGGGTGGGTGGGTGGGTTTCAAATGAAACCGCAGGTTTGGGTCAAGGCTAGGAGCAAAACGGCCACCGCGTAGTTCGATTCACAACATGCCCTAAACACAAGGGAAAAGAAACCCTAAGCGTTAAGGCATGTTGCACTGCTCCTAGCTTGAACCCAAACATGAACCCCCCAAAAGAACAAAGCAAGTCCGAAGCGGCCGCTGTTCTTTTTACCGGGATTGCTGAAAGTAGCACTGCTTCCAGGGCACTGGTGCGCCTGGAGCAGGAGGTGCGTTGACCCCCCCTTCAGTGTTTCAGGCAACCCCGGTATAAGCGAGCCAGCTGGGCCGCCGGCCTCATCACCCCCCCTTCAGAGTGGGGTTGTACCTGGCAGGGCAAATGTCCGCGTGACAATGCACGCTTGCGGCTGTGAGCAGCAGCCTGTTGCTCAGGGTCTGCACTTCTTTCGGTCAGAGCGGCTTGATGTAAGCGGCTGGCTGACGCAGCCAGTTGTTTGGCTGACAGGGCGAAGACGGCCATTTGGTCGCAATGCATGTTGGGATGCAAATAAGGCTGGCTAAGCAGTGCTGGAGGCAGCTGCCAGGTGTTCACGCGAAAAAAAAATCCCACAACACGTCCGACCAAAAAACGGTCGCCGACACCGTGGAAAAAAACACACGAAAATCAAGCAAAATCATGTCATGCCAAAACCATGCAAAAATCGTGCAAAACGAGCTATTACTCCGGCCTGTATATAGATATACGGGCCGGAGTAATAGCATTTTTGTAGCGCAAAACCGTGCGAAACAAGCTCGATGGGTTTTTCGGGCAAAAAAGCGAGGTCGGAATTCCGACCTCGGTGGAAGAGCAAAGTCGGAATCCCGACCTCGGTGGAAGAATCCCGACCTCGGGTGGCGCGGGCTCGGCAGGCTGGCTCCGATGCCGGGCAGGTGGCGCGCTAGGTATCGAAGCCTCCACGTTGTCGGCGGGCTGGCGTTGGCTCCGATGCCGGGCAGGTGGTGCGGCCGGGAGGCTTCTATGCCGGGCAGGGTGGCGCAGTGCCAAGCCGCCGAACCCTCACAGTCCCCCGGGTCCTTGCTATACGTCCTATATGTGCTATATGGGTCTCACAAGGCAAGCCGCAGAGCTGTATACTATACACATAGCATCTCAACATGTGCCAAATATGCATTGTATAGCACATATAGTGTATTTTAACGCGCGTCTCGATAACATATAGTACATATAGGACGTATAGCAAGGAGCCCGGAGAGTGTGGGGGTTCAGCGGCTTGGCGTGCAAGAGCCATATAGCACATATAGCAAGGACCCGGGGGACTGTGCGGCTTGGCGTGGCTTCAATGCCGGGCAGGAGGCTTCGATACCGGGCTTCTATACCATATAGCACATATAGCACATATAGCAAGGAGCCGGGGGACTGTGCGGGTTGAGCGGCTTGGCGTACACGCGTTTTTGGTTCAATTTTGATGCAATATTGCGGCAACGAAAGTCAACCATGGATCAATATTGGCAACCTCTCTCTTTAGAGGGGGTTTCCCAAATGGATTCTATTCTACCTGACAGGCTCCTAGCACTCGTCCGTCCAGGAAACGACCTCGTCCTGCGAGGATTCGAAACCTAAAACGCTACGTGGAGGCGTGTGGCTGCAAAATAATGACCCCTAGATATGCGCCGCAATTTGGCTCCAGGTTGCATTTCAAGCGAGGTCAAGCTTTGCCAAAGGAAACCCCTTTTCCCTTTTTTTCGGGACCCCTTTTTTTGGGACCCCTTGTTTTCTGTTTTTTTGTTTTTTTCTTAGCCCTGCAAAGGTTGGCTCGCTTGAAATGCAACCTGGAGCCAAATTGCGGCGCATATCTAGGGGTCATTATTTTGCAGCCACACGCCTCCACGTAGCGTTTTAGGTTTCGAATCCTTCGCAGGACGAGGTCGTTTCCTGGACGGACGAGTGCTAGGAGCCTGTCAGGTAGAATAGAATCCATTTGGGAAACCCCCTCTAAAGAGAGAGGGCCGTTGCAGACGCTGCGCGCTGCTCAGCGTCAGTGGCCGCTGCTGTGTGAAGGAGCCCCACTTTCCCGAGAAGCTGTTGCGCAGCAGGACGTATGAGCAGGCAGCCCGACGCCCGGCACGGCCTCTCTGAGAGCCCACCAGAAGGCGACTGAAGTAGAAGCGCCTGTTTACCTTGCGCCCCACCAGGCGCAGCAAGGAGCGCAGGAAGACCGGGTCTTGCCTCAAGTAACAGCGGCGCAGGTTTGCGACGGGCTCGTAGGCGTCGACACCACGCACCTCCAGGGCCGGACGCCGGGCGGCAAGGTAGTACTCCAGCTTTCCGGAACTGAAGAAGGGAGCGACGTCCCCCAGCAGCCGGTCCACGTGAGGAGCTAACCACGATTTACTTCCCATGTACTTCAGATGCATACCAGCCTTTAGTTTTATCCCTGAAAACTCAGACAGTGCACTGCCATACAGCAGGGCGCTC